CTGTCTTTACTCCATTGTATATTCATACCTCCTTTGCCATAGATTAATTAACCATATATGTCAAGATGTATTTCTGGGCTTTCTAGTCTATTCCATTAATCTATATTTCTTTTTTTATGCCAGTACCATGCTGTTTTGATTATCTGTAGTTTTGTGGTATAGTTTGAAATCAGGGAGTGTAATACCTCCCACTTTGTTCTTTCTTAAGATTTCTTTGGCTATTAGGGTTTTTTTGTGGTTCCTAAAAATAAAAAATTTAGGATTAATTCTCGTTCTGAGAAGAATGCCATTGGTATTTTTGTAGGGATTGCACTGAATCTGTATATTGCTTTAGGTAGTTTAGTCTTATTAATCCTTCTAATTCATGAGCATGATATGTCCTTCCATTTACTTGTATCTTCTTCAATTTCTTTTTTCAGTGTCTTAAGAGTTTTCAGAGTATCGATCTTTCACTTCTTTACTTAAATTTATTCCTAAGTATATTATATTTTTAAAAATTTTATGTTGCTGGTTATATAACCAGCAAAATTGAAAGAAAAAAGAAACTGACAGTAATGAGAGGGAAGGAAGGAGGGGGGTAATGGGGTAACGAAGGGGAAGGATGAAATAAAAAAACAGGTATAAAGGACCCATGGACACAGCCAAAGTGGGGAAGGATTGAGGGTGGGAGGTGGGGGGTGGGGTGGGGCAGGGGGAAGCGGTGGCAGAAAAATGGAGATAGATGTATTTGAACAATTTAAAATGATTTAATTGTATTTTTTCTGTTACTGTTTAGTCCTCTTATACTCCCCTCCTGCCTGTAATCACCGCACTGATGTCCATATCCATGAGTCCTTTATTCTTTTTACTCAATCCCTCCATCCCCTCCCTTTCCTCTCTTAGCTGTAATGCAGCTCGCTATGAGTCTGTCTCTATTCTGCTTGTTAGTTCAGCTGGTTCATTAAATTCTACGTACAAGTGAAAGCATATGGTGTTTATCTTTATCTGACTGCCTTATTTTATACTTTTTGATGCAATTGTAAATGGGACTGTTTTCTTAATTTCTCCATTTTATTGTTCATTATTGGTATATACAAATGCAACAGATTTCTGTATACTGATTTTGTATCCTGCAAATTTACTAAATTCATTTATTACTTCTAGTAGTTTTTTTTTGGTGGAGTTTTTAGGATTTTCTGTGTGTAGTATCATGTCATCTGCAAATAGTGGGAGTTTTACTTCTTGCTTTCCAGTTTGGATGCCTTTTACCTTTTTTTTTTTTTTTTGTCTTGTCTGATTGCTGTGGCTAGGACTTCTAATACTATGTTGAATAGAAGTGGTGATAGTGGGCATCCTTGTCTTGTTCTTGATCTTAGAGGGAAAAGATTTTAGCTTTTCACCAATGAATATAATATAGCTGTGGGTTTGTCATATGTAGTCTTATTTTGTTGAGCTATATTCCCTCTATACCCACTTTGTTGAGAGTTTTTGTCATAAAGGGGTGTTGAATTTTGTCAAATGCCTTTTCTGCATCTATTGATATGATGATATGAGTTTTATCCTTCATTTTGTTGGTGTGATGTATCATATTAATTGATTTGTGGATGTTGTACCATCTTTGCATCGCTGGAATACATCCCACTTGGTTATGGTATATAATCCCTTTAATGTATTTTTGAATCTGGTTTGCTAATATTTTGTTGAGCATTTTTACTTATATGTTCATCAAGGATGTTGGCTTGTAATTTTCTTTTTTGGTGATATATTTGTCTTGTTTTGGCATCAGGGTAATGCTGGCTTAATAGAATCAGTTTATAAGCATTTCTTCCTCTTCAGGTTTTTTATGTGGTGGGGAGGATAGTTTAAAAAGGATAGGTATTAATTCTTTAAATGTTTGCTAGAATCCACCCGTGAAGCTGTGTGGTCCCGGGCTTTAGCTTTTGGAGAGTTCTTAAAATTACTGCTTCAATATCATTGCTAGTAATCAGTCTGTTTAGATTTTCTATTTCTTCCTGGTTGAGTCTTGGAAGGTGGTACGCTTTTAGAAATTTACTTATTTCTTCTAGGTTGTCCATTTTGTTGGAATATAATTGTTCACGGTATTTTAAAATAATTCTTTATATTCCTGTGGTATTGGCTGTAACTTCCTTTCATTTATGATTTCATTTATTGGGTTCTGTCCTTTTTCTTAATGAATCTGGCTAAAGGTTTGTCAATTTTGTTTACCTTTTCAAAGAACCAGCTTTTAGTTGGATCTTTTCTTTTTTATTTCTTAATCTCTGTTTTGTTTATTTCTGCTCTGATCTTTATTATTTCCTTCCTTGTTTCTTACTTTGGGTTTTATTTGTTCTTCTTTTTGTAATTCCTTTAGAGGTAAATTTAGATTGCTTATTTGGAATTTTTCTTGTTCCTTGAGGTTAGGCTTCTATAGCTATGAACTTCCCTCTTGGGACTGCTTTTGCTGCATTCCGTTAATTTAAAAAATTGTCTTTTTATTTTCATTTGTCTCAAGGTAGTTTGTTCAATTTTCTCTTTGAGTTCCTCTTTGATCCATTGATTGTTATGTAGCATGTTGTTTAGTTTCCACATATTTGTGTTTTTTCCCCCAGTATTTTTCCCCTACATTTGAGCTCTAGGTTCACACCATTGCGATCCTAAAAGATGCTTAATGCCCTGACCAGGTGGCTCAGTTGGTTGGAGCTTTGTCCTCTACACCAAAAGTTGTGGGTTCCATCCCCAGTCAGGGCACATACCTAGGTTTCGAATTCAGTCCCTGGTTAGTGCGTGTATGGGAGGCAACCAGTCGACGTTTCTCTCTCACATTGATGTTTCTCCCTCTCTCTGCCCCTCTCTCCCCCTCTCTCCCCGCCTCCGCCTCTCTCCCCTCCACCCTTCCTCTCCCTTTCACTATCCTTCTCCCTCCCTCTAAAAATCAGTAAACATATCCTTGGGTAAGGAGTAAAAATAAAATAAAATATGCTTAATATATTTCAATCTTTCTTGAATTTATTTAGGCTTGTTTTGTGGCCTAATATGTGATCTATCCTGGGGAATGTTCCATGTGCATATGAAAAAAAATATATATTCCACAGTTTGGGAATGAAATGTTCTATAACTGTCTATTCAGTAAATCCTTATCTGAACATAATGAAATAAGACAGAGAGTAAGGGCAAAATGTACAATCCATGACTGGCGCTCCCCCTTGCACCTTGGGGAAACCGAGTAGATCATAGGAAGGACCCAAGGCCTGAATAGAAATGAAGCTGCAGCCAGGTTGGCTGGTTCCCATAGGTCAGGATCTGGGACTGGCGCCTTTAGGTGTCTGTGACTGCACCAGGGGCAGAGAGCCAGGTGAGCCTGGGGCAGCCTGTGGGCTGTGACTAAATTAGGAAGAAAGAGTCCTTGGGCTCTCTGGGGAGCTAACTGGGCAAGTGGGCCTCTGGTGGAAAGCTGGAAGCGGGCTATGTAGACAGACATGACTGGCTTTCACTTGGACTTTCCAGTGGTCTGCAGGAACATCACACACTGAGTCCTAGCAGGAGGGAAGCTTCCCGGATACCAGTGACCGTACCCCTGCCCCACCTCCAAGGGTGTATGTAAAATAGGAGAACCCAGTGAACTTTAATCGCTAGTCCTTTATAAGCTATTTTGGGGAGGGTGTACCTTGTAAAAAACATAACATCCTGGATAATTTTGAGAGGGGATTAGACTGGATACTGGGCATCACAGATGAACATCAGGCCTTCCAGACAGGACAAACTGGATGATGGCTGCTTTATGTAACCTGGCAACGAGGTGACTTTGGGCAGTAGATTTTGATTTAGCAAATCACATGAAGATTTAGTTTGGTTTGGTTGTGTTTAAGTACTATAGTGTAAGATTTGGGAAGAAGAAGAGGGACTCAAAGTGGCAAGAGAATGGTGGCTCCTGGGGAGAAGGGTGATCAGGTTCCTAAGTAACTGAACCGTAAGTAAGGTCAAGCTCATGCCTGGACCCCAGGAATTTAGTAATTCCTCGTAGAAAGGGCTTCTTGGCTTTCTTTTTTCCCTTCCTTTCTCTTCTCTTCTCTTCTCTTCTCTTCTCTTCTCTTCTCTTTTCTTTTCTTTTCTTTTCTTTTCTTTCCCCTTCCTTTTTTGCGGGGTATATTTTCTACAAGGCTTGTGGAAGGGCTTAGAATCAAAGCAGTTGCTCAGCTGTGGCACTATTGATATTTTGGGCTGGGTAATCCTTGTCTGTGGGTTCTGTCCTGAATATTGTAGGATTTTAGCAGCGTCCCTGACCTCTGCCTAGTAAATGCCAGTAGCAGCCTCCAGTTCTGACAAACAAAATGTCTCCAGCGTTCCCTGGGGTGGGGGTGGGGGGTGGGTGCGGAAATTGCCCCCAGTTAAGAGCCACTGCTGAGAGCAGAACACGGTCTATTTTTCCTGCTGGAAAGTATTGTAGTTACCACTGGGAAGGTGAAGTGATAGATCGCCTCACTCCATCTCCTGCTTCATACACACAGAAAAAAAAGAAAGGGTCACCTGTTCAGGAGGTCTGCTGGTTGTGAGTCAGTTTGTTGGTGGTGTCTGATGTGGCTACATGACTCCAGGTCCTTTGGGGACCTTCAGGACCAAATTGTCACCAGACTAAAAACCCAGAGTAAAAACAAGCGAGTAAACAAACAAACCCCCATCACTACCACCACCGACAACATGAAGTAGTAAAATAAACCAGAATAGGAGGCTTTGGAATTTTACTAAAAATGGCCACGTGAGACCCTGGTCAGGTAGCTGAGTTGGTTGGAGCATTGTCCTGATATGCCAAGGCTGTGGATTCAATCCCTGGTCAGGACATTTACAATAATCAACCAACAAATGCATAACTAAGTGGAACAACAAATAGATGTTTCTCTCTCTCTCTCCTCCCTTCCCCCTTCTTTCTCTCTAAAATAAATAAATGGAAAAAAAATGGCCACATGATTAGCCCAATTTCCCCCCCCTTCAGAAGTGCTCTCAAAAGCTGGCCTGGGTGTTGATATGTGAAGAGGCTGAGAACATGTGGCGTAAACATTGACTGATATTGTTTGCCATTTACACTCAGCCTGTGTAATGCAGCAGGAATGGCTCCCGGTGGCATGTGACTCCCCTTCCAGATGGGTATGCAGGGCACTGGGACCGCTCTTCTCTTTCACTCTCTCCCTCGCTTCATTCCCCCTCCTGTGCCCCTTTCCAGACTCCTGAGAGTTTAAGCGGAAGCCTGTCATGATTGGCATGCAGAAAGCTGGTAGAATGTCATTGGAATTTTCTAGGGAGGCACATGCCCGACACCCAAAATGACTCCCGGCTTCGGTGGCCTCGGGTCCATGCTCAATGCCAGGCTCTCTGGTCTTTTTCAGAAAGGTAAGGCTGCATGATGTCATCCTACCTTTCCCCAGCACAGGGGGAAACCAAGGATGTGGGGTTTTTTTGTTTTTTTTTTTTAATTCTCTAGTTCAGGCAGCACTTCTGACCATATTCTTGGCGCTAAGCATTTGTGCATGAGTGTGCGATTTGTCTGTATCCCCACCCCCTCCCGCTTAAAAAAATGGTAATACACGATTCACAGGGTAACATGTGACCTAAAACAGTGCCCCATGACCCCAGTGAAATCAGTGATCCCGATGTCAGGATGTCTAGATGTTCTTTTTACGCCAGTTATTAAACTCTTTGATAAAGAAAAAGTCGGTGGCCGCGGGAAAACAGATTGCATTATCCCGAGATCTGAGGGAATAGAAAAAGACGTTTTCGGAATCCTGAAGCCTTGTGAGCGATGGGGTCTCTTAAGACTGAGGCATTTTGTGTGAATTGCTGGAATTTGTCAATGATGGAAAAATGAATGTAAAGTCGTTTGCAATGTTTCCCATCTTGAGTGTGGAGTCAGACTCGTGAACCCGGCAGGGAGTGCCGTGTGAGAATTCGTGAGCTGGGGATATTTTGCTAAGAAAGAATGCTTGGAAGTTGCTTTTAAGCACCGCTGAAGGAGCCATGGTACGCATTTCGGCAACTATTCGGTGTCTTTAAATAAAGTTAAATTTCAAAGCTAAACTATTTTAAAGTCCCCACGCATGCAAGAAAGTTAAGTGTATGAACGTCTGTCGCGAGGTTCAGGGGACGTACTTGGACATGGATGTGATGATCTGTTAGCAGGCTCAAGTGCCACCGAACCTGACTCACCTCACTTCTTTATCGGAGGCGATTACAAGTAGCATCGACACTTTTGCTGAGTTTCCACTAGCAAGTGTGTAAAAGCAAATCCACACTCATACGCTTGTAAAATGGCGTGTACGCTGTATTTTATGTCATGGGGATTTTTTTTAACCTTAAAAAAAAAAATCCATTATGTAGCTTTGTCATTGGTTTCTGCCATATATGCGTTAGAATCTTTGTTTTTTTTCCAATGTCAGAAAACTGAAAGGGAGAGGGTTAATATTTTCACACACTTGTTCCCTCCCCCACATGAATACCCTAACAGCTGCCACGTATGATTTTATGGAATTTGATATTTCGAATGAAATGACTTCCTTATTTTTCATAGTAATATAATAATCAATTTTACCATAGAGAACTGCGTACATGTCAGGCCTTGGCTGCTCCTAATTAGCAATGGATGGGGTAGCAGAGGGGAGTGCCGGAGAGCAGATCTGAGTGAAAAGTCAGCCATTGAGTTTTAATCATTCTTTCTTGCCTCAGTCTGCTTGGATCTTAACCGCAAGTTTAGCGTATGGTTGGTAGGACAGAAATATCAAGAAAGGCGCATGCAGCTGTAACTGACAGGCTGGCTCCTCTCACTGTTGCTGCTTGGTCTTTATCTCCTGTCTGCAGCGACTTTCATGTGGCCACGGCATTGAAAAATTGAGGCAAAAGCTAGCAGTAACCCGCAATAATATTCTCTGCCTCGGGTGGCACCTCTTGTTTTGTTGGCTGTAGTCAGAAAGGTGTGTTTCTTTAGGCACCAGAAACTTCCATCCACTTTGGGAAAATGGAAGCTTTCTCAAATAAATAGTGGTATGGTCCATTTATAAAGTTCCAACCTCAAGGTTCTTATTTACGCCAAAGAATTTGAAAGAATTAAACAGTGCCGACCCCCAACACAAACACAGAAACATAATATGCCTTGCATTTCACAATGAAACACTTAGCATATTCTGCTAAGGTCTGCGTTCTATGTGCTTAGAGACGGTCGTACATTCAAGTGAGTTGAAGTATTACTTCAGTGCGTCTAATTTGCCTGGCACTGAGCCACATAGACACTCAGGAATTTGAAAGGTTTTAGGATGTGGATGATGTCTTCAAGGTGTTTATAATTTATAAGGTATAAGAGTTATCCCCCAGCAAACCTCAGTTGGCTCTCTGCAGTAGAAATTGGCTCTCCTCAGTACACACACTCTGGGAGAAGCCTTGTCACAAAAAAGTATTTATTAAGATGTGTGAAAGATGCTTCAGCATAGCTAAGCAATACTGGTTGACCGGCCACTGTGTGTGTGACCCTTTGTGGGCTGATAAGATTTTATTCTTTTATACAGAGTGGTGAGTCTCAGACTTCACTTTCACAATAGTCCTGGGAGCTATTAAAACCCCCTGTGTCTCAGGTGAATTGGACTCTTCTGGCGATGTAGCCCAAGCATCAGTATTTTTAAAAATACCCCAAGTAATTGCAGCACCATTAAGTTTGAAATCTAGTGATGTAGATGATTTTATTTAAAAAAACTGGGGGGGGGGGCTATGGTGAATTTGGAAGGTGGATTTTTTTCATAATCAGGATGTTGCTTGACTAAAGAATTTTTGGCATTCTGGAATCTGCCCCTACTGTTCTCTGAATGAGTGAACTTGGTGTGAATGCTGTTAGGCTTTCTTCCTGCTCAGCAAACCTGATGACGTGATGCTGAGCTAATTAATCAACTAAGTTAAATGAGGTTTTATGAACTTGACTGTTTTGGTTGTAGGAGGCCAAGTGTTGAACACGGTGCTTAAGTCTTTTAAAGGGAGGTAGGTATAAGAGCGATTACGTGTGCCCCTGAAATTATTTTTACACTACTTAAAAACCCCTGTGGAAAAGGAAGCCCCTTCTTGGTATACTGGAAAGCTCATTAAAGGCAGAGGTGGTTCATTAAATATATAGCAGTTAATAAATTTCATATAACTCACGCTAGATTCTTAGAGTTAGAAGGTGGACTCAGTGGTTCTCAAAGGGCAGCGTCATGTTAGAAGTGCACATTCTGGGGCCTCAACTCAGACCTCCTGAGAAAGAATCCAGGGGTGAGCCCAGCATCTGTATTTTAAGATGCTCTCCTGGTGCCCACAAATTTTAAAGATCGTGGCTCTGGTTTCACCTTGTCACTTTATAGACAGGTCTGTTAATTGGAAGTTAAGCGCCTCTCTCTGAAGTCACCCAGGACTAGAAGAACAGCAGAGGCTAAAACTCAGATCTCTCAGTGTAAAATCTATCTCTGCACCAGGGCCAGATCATCCTACTTTTTTATGTGTCATAGGTAACAGCTTTAGGAAAACACCCACCAACCTAGAATCATAAGACATAACGGAGCCTTGGGTGTTGTCTCACCTGACCCTCCCATTTTACAGATGAGAAAACTAAATTCTACAGAGTGAAGTGCAGTAAGATGAATAGTTAGTTATTCGTGGCAGAGTCTGTTTAAGAAGTAGGTCTACTTACGACCCAAACAGTAGCACCCCTGGCTCCCACTGTCCCCTTTGCCTCTTCAGTTACACGTGGACTCCATTTGGCTTAAATCATATTGGTTAAAATGTCCAGGTTAACAATCAGGCAACTCTAGGAAAAGACCAGCTATTTTGATTGAGAATTCTAATTCTTTAAAATTAACCCAAAATTTTATTTTGGTTTAAAATTGGCTTGAATTTTATAACACTTACTAGAAAAAAATCTCAGTGACATAAACTACTAAAAAGGAAGTTTAGAGAACACAGGGAGCGTTCATTTTTTGAGCATATGTTTCATCTCAGAATCATGCAGATTAGACATTTATATCTCCTCAGATCGCACACTGAAATTACATTTTCTTCAGATTTAGTTAAAAGGAAAAATGTGGCAACAAGTCTGTTTGTTGAATATTTTAAGATTTTATACTTGATGTGGTTGGTGGTATTTACATAATTTCAACAGTGTTCAAAGACTGAATCTAATCCACATTCTCTGCAGAACTGCATCTTCAAAGCCTTGAGCCACACACACAGAACACTTGCCCAGAAAAACAAATTGAGAATGTGATACACAACTATTGCCTCACACACATACACATGGATCAGGTGTGTACATGTATAGAAATGCTTTTTGGTTCCACGCACCTACCATGTGCCAGGCACTGTGACTGGAAATGGGACACACAGTTCCTGCCTTCAGAATGACGAGGGGGAAGTGAGGAAGTCAGATGAGTGACTAGGTAGACAATTACGGGAGATGGTGGTGGGAGTTAGAATAAAGTGTGATTGAGGCTAATGGAGCGGCAGGACATTGTGGGCCATCGTAGAAGGGACACCAGCACATATTGGACGGGGGCAGGAGTCAGAGAAGTCTGCTTGGAGGAGGTGACCTCTAACTGCATGTTGAAAGATGGTAGTTACCTAGGTGAGGGCAAGGAGGGAAGAGATTGTCCAGGCTGAGGGAACAGTATGTGCAAAGGCGTTCATGTTTGCATATACTGTTCTTCACATGGGAAGTATTGGCTATAAACTCCTAAATATTTTATTTGCATGAATAAAAATGAACATTTGGCTTCTTAAAGGACTTTGTGCAGCAGTTTTAAAATATATATTTCAGACAGCTTGTTTTTCCCTCTCAGAAGGCTCCCACATTCCCCAGAAAAGTGTGTTAGTTGAGAGGCTGCCATATCTTACGTGACTGAGACACAGAAAGCTCTCTTCTAACCTCAGAAGTCAAACCAACTCCCTGCATAAAACCAGAGAAATTCTGCCCAACATGAATTTCCTAAGAATTGTGTGTCAGACAAACCAACGCCAGCCCTGAATGGATTCGAGCTGCTTTTACTGTGAAAGCCTGGTTCTGTCTGTGGAATGCCTTTGTAGAGGAGAGAGTCCTATTGTGAGACACTTTTGGTATTTCCTTCTCTAAATCTTCATGCATAGAGTTCAGAGAGCCTCTCCTTGTGCTGAACAGCCTGCCCAAGACATCATGGATAGAAGAAATTAAATTAGTTCATGCTGGCTGGCCCACAACATCTGAAAACCAAGACAGGTATATATCTATATATATCTCTATATATCTGTATATCTATATCTATCTATCTATCTATCTATCTGTCTATCTATATACACACACACATACACACACACACACGCACATATATGGCAATGGCTTCTTTAGAAGCAATCCTGGGAGCTTACAAATAGCTTACTGTGTGAGTAACAGTAATTATTATTATTCAGTATTACTCAATAATAATAATAATTATTATTCAATATTACTCAATAATAATAATTATTATTATTATCAACCATCATCATGCTTTGCAGAGCATCTGCACACCATGTTAGATCTTTACAACAGCCAACAGGGCAGATGTTATTATCTACATTTGACAGATGAGGAAATTAAACCTCAGAGTCATCAGATTTCAAAGGTGGATGAGATCCTTTCCTATCCAGCTTTGTCAAATTACCAAAAAAAAAAAAAAAAAAAAAAAGAGAGAAGAAGCTGGCTGACCTACAATCCCACCGAGAGTAAACAGTGGCTATAAGGCCAGGTGGGTCTTCTGATTCCTAGCTCACTAATTTTTTGCTCCATCACACTGCCTTCAATATTCCATGTATTAAAAGAAACTTGGGAGAATATGCATTTGTTTCTTTAGGAGAAATATTGTTGAGATCAGTCCTAATGCTATTTTATGAACATATGAACATGTAAAAAAGTCTCTGTTACTTTTTTTTGTATATAAATACAAATAGACAGGTATATAGATAAATGGGTAAACATACCACATGTAGATGTCACTGGGAAACGGGGATGAAATGGGACCTGGCAGAGGCTCAGAGGGGACTTCAACTTTATCAGTATAATTTTACTGTATTTTTATTTGTTTGTTTGTTTATTTTTAGAGAAGAAAGGAAGGAGAAAGAGAGGGAGTGAAACATCAGTGTGTGGTTGTCTCTTGCATGGCCCCCTCTGGGGGCCTGGCCCATTACCCAGGCATGTGCCCTGACTGGGAATCGAACAGGCAACCTTTTGGTTTTCAGGCTGGCACTCAATCCACTGAGCCACACCAGCCAGGGCTACTTTAGTGTGGTTTTATTTTTTAATTAAAAAAAAATCTGAGGCAAAAATGACCCTAACTGTAGCATTTGTTAATATGGGGTGATAGGCAATGAATTCATAGTTATTTCTTACAGTCTTCATATTTTTGTAGTTTTAAAATTCAAGACAAAACAAATATGAGTATTAAAAACACTGACCACTTACAACACCATCATCTTATAAAATAAAGGATATTTTAGAGAAAGAACAATGGTACAGAAGAAGAGGAAAAAAACTAATATATGGTTCTTGGTGGTAAGTTGATATTAATTCTTTCTTTGTTTTAAGTTTTTCCTGTATGGCACTAGCAGAATGTATATTATTTTCTTTGCATTTTCTTTCTGTTCTGTTTTGTACATCTTGAACCCATCTCCAGCAGGAAAATAAAAGCCTTTTCTTGTCAGTTATAAAACTGCTAGCTGCATCTCCTGGTTCTGAAACTCTTACTCTTTCTGCTGAAAGTGGTACAGAATATAATGGACCAAAAGGCTGGTGATTTGATACCAAGTGTGTTATTTAAAATCATGCCCTGGATGTGCTAACTAAACTTATTGTGGTAATTGTTTTACAATGTGCACATATATCAAGTCATTATGTTGTACGGCTTAAATTTATACAATATTATATGTCAATTATATCTCAATAAAGCTGGAAAAAAATTAAAAATCATTATGACAAGTTGGGAGGAAAAAAACACAGAATAAAGGAAAAAGCGTTATAATTTAGTAGCTTTGAACAAACCAAAAAAAAAAACCCAAAACATACATTCAAGGAAGTAGGTCCAGGAATGTGGTTTTAGAAGCTCCTTTAATGAACCTGTAACAGACTAGAATATTGGTCTTAGAGTAAAAAAGGCATTGTTCAAGTCTCAGCCAAATCCCCTACTCACTGGATGCTCTCAGGTGGTTCTTCCGATCTTTTGTGGTCTTATTCTTAATATAAACAGGAAATGGTCATATTCGATGTACCTGCCCACATGGTTGTCCTGGATATCAGATAGCTAATGAGGTGAAAACACTTAATAAAACCCCAGAAAAAAGCATGAAACTAAAGAGAGATGATAGCGTTATCATTCCTGTTAGGAGTCACTCCAAGAGGTGTCGCGGTGATGCAGATCATCACATGGCGATATCATGGCTGAAGCCCTGACATGGGATTACACCAGCCTTGACCGCGTAACCTTGAAGGTAGTCACAGGGGTGAGCTAGTGATAATCCATAGCGCTGTTACCAAGAAGATGGCACTAACCAAAAAGTGTGTAACCTTGTTCTGCTCCTTGAACAGGAGATGACTCGCTGGTGCACATTGGCTGGGGCTTGTCCCCCTGCAGCGACTCCATTAGACCCGAGGAGTGAGGAGAGTGGGGCTCCTGGCCCTCCTTTCCTCTGTGCAGGGGTGTGACTTGGGTTGGTTCACATAATGCGTCAACTTCATTGGGCTTCTCTTTTTTCTCTGTAAACTGAGTGGGTTAAACTAAATGGCTTCTAAGGCCTCTGGTTGCTCTTAGCATATTTGATAATTAGCTAGAGTTTGACCTGGAGTCCCAGTATTACTGTAGTATCATCATGGTCAGCTTGTAACCTGGCATTTAGCGACTGTTCTCTGTGGTTCACATCCTGACCCAGCCTCCAAGAGCGTTACGGTAGAGTTGAGAATGTACGATTTGAAGTTCAGCTCCCAGGATGCCATGGAAGGGCAAGGCCCAGCAAAGATTTGACCCTGATTGCACTTTATTTACTTTGACCATGTTATGAAGATGTGACCAAACCTGGAAAACATCTCTTGCCTGGCCATGAGCCCTCTCACCTGGATTCTATTTTACATCTTAGCACATGAGAAAAAATGGCATGTCCATTGCGTGGCCTGGACAGGGAAATGAGTTGAACTGGAAAGCAATTTAAATTCCTCATGAGTTATCTTGGAAGACCTTGTGCTTACTGAGAATGTGACCAGTCGGGTCTGTTTAAGCCCCGCCGCGCAGGGCCATGGTTCTTGGCTCCTTCTTCCGGCTGGCTGAACATCACCAGGGCAGAGCTTGCTGTGAGTCTGCACGCATTCCCACAGTTGAACTTTAGCTGCTCCCTCGTTATTCCACAGCCCTTTAAGTCTACGGTTGACTACGAGTCCAGTTCACCAAGCAACTTGTTATAACTCTCTGTTCCCTCCACACCCCAGTCCCCACACTGCTCCCTCCTCTCAGCAGATGGCCATCCTTACTTTTGTCTTCCCTTCTCTCCATATTTACATATTCTCGTGATTTCTAGCATCTATTTCTGTCTCTAAGATTTGTCGCTACCTTGGCAGAGCTCACTCGCCATCTGCACTGTTGATGACGATGGTAGTGATAGTAATAGTGATGGTAGTGATAGTAATAGTAATGGTACTGATAATGATGAGAAGATTAGTAGTAATGATTGCTGCTGCGTTTGTTTAGCCAATGTTTATATTTGTTTAATGCTAGGAACTCTATAGAACAATTTATGTATGCCCTATCATTTAACTCAGAACAAGTCTATACCTTAGATATAGCCACCCTGACTTTAATGACGAGCCCCCTGAGGCTTAGACAGGATACGTATTTGCCCACAGTCCCCAGCTTGTAACTGGGAAGCTGGAATTCATACCCAGGTGGACACTAACTGAAACCTGAGCTCCTTCCCATACCCTCCCCCCATCTGTATGCAGAGCACAGCCATGTTGATATGGCTGCTACTTCATAAATGTGGCTGATTTTAATCCATTCTGCCATGAGTCCTTATCTCCAAGGACATGAGTGACAAATATCGCTTCCTCTGTAGAGGATTGTTTTCTGAAAGGGAAAGGTGTGTTGTGATCACACAGAAAATGTCCACTTTCCAATATGCTTCCAGACAATGCCACACCCTAACCTCCTGTACAGCACCTAACAATTTAAACAATTTGCAGAGCATTCTGAAAACTCTTTACTTTCCTGACTGGCATCAACCTTCATCATGTGGAAAAGAAAAGATTGTGACTTCTCTCCTTATAAATGAGGACACTGAGGCTGTCTCCCATGGTGACATGTATGTCAAGCATTGAGTTAGGACCAGAACCCAGGATGCCTGATTCCTACCCCTTGTTCATATGAGGAGCCTCACGTCCCAATAGGCACTCACTATATATTCTTCTCTCTCCCAAGTGAAAGAAGCTAAAGAACCTGTGTATCTTTAACAAAGACCCTTTCTTCTGGAGGCGGAGGTCACTGGTGCCTTGCATAAAGCCAGTTCTTAGTGCCACAAAAATAGCCTGTTGTTAAAAAAAAAAAAGAAAGAATGAAAAAAAGAAAGGTATCTCAGTAAATGAGAAACTCTCCTCTTGAGAAGGTCAAGGTATTACGTCCCCAGCTCACAGGAGCACCTGTGAGGCCAAGGCTGGATCTCTGAGCCTGCAAAACGTTGTTGCGTAGCCCACACCCCACCCACGCCCTGGTCTCGTGACCACTGTGTGTGGCCTTACTCCACCCAGGGTGGAGGAGCCTTCTCTGTTCCCCAAACCTCCAGGCAATAGGTCTCTCTGGTTAATAGACACTCACACCAAAGTGACTGCCCGAGTTTCCCCTGCAGCTACCCCTTAGCTGCTAGGTCCTTACAGATGGTCCTCACCACAGAGGAAGTTGGGGAATGATAGACAATTCCTGAGTCAATGCAGGGCTCTGGAGGGAAAATGTCTGAATAAATGCAGATAGTTCAAGTAGGTTGGCTTTCTTTTTACATTATTATTTTTATTAAGCAAATAAAGGAAACGCATTGGTTTGTGTACAGAAAAAGCCCAAGCAGATGCAGGAGATGCTGGCCCAGGGTGTCCGTGGGCGGTCACCCAGGAGCTGCCTGAGCCTGTCTCCAGGCCAGTGTGTTTGGGCCGGCTTTATTTTCAAGCAGGCTCTCCTTACAGGGTAGTGCAGATTCAACCTGTTCAGCCACCCA